TTTGCACCTGCCACCAGTTACGTAATCACATCATTTTTCTGAATTCCTCTGTCGACTCAGATGTATGCTGGGAGATTCATTATTCCCTCTGCAATTTTTAAAGCCAGTGCCGCTGAGTTTTTTTAGCACCTCAGCAGAGCCACAGGCTGATTGCCTCCATATTAGAGACTGATGCATGATGCAAAAACTTACTTGAGTTCTTATTAAGAATGTTTAATAAACAGCATATGAACATTCTCCACATTAAGCTAAAATTATTTTATTCCCCCATTAGATGTCTAAAATACTAATTGAACCCATGACTCCACCTGTTCCTGTTGCTTCTGATGTTTTATAAACTTTTTTTCCACTAAACTCAAAATAATCCAATGATACAGACATATTGTTAAAAAAAAAAGTTTCTATATTTTGAAAAATCTAAAACGTTACTTTAGATAAATTAATAATAAAAAGAATATCCATTTTATAAATTGGTTTTTATACAATATATTTGTGATTTCACTAGCCGTATGCCATAATCAGCAAAACTAGGAAGAAATAGTGAAATACAATCTATCGCACTGGGTCTGATTAATTAATACACAAGTTTTACTATTTGAATTGAATATTTAAGACAATTCAAATTTCAAATAATTATCTAAACTCATTCAATGCACCTGGATATCTCAGACTTGTTGACAGAACAGATTAAATACTTGCAGACAAAAAGAGCAAAGCATTAAGAAAAGCATCCAGAAGCATTAATTGATTGAGATGGTCTGAAAGGACCTGGCACATGGAGCATTAATCAGGCAGCTATTCCAGGTGTTTTCACACTTTTATCAGTGTGTAGGTAAGAAAAAGAACAAAACAAATCAACCTTAAATTCACCAGAAAAATGTTTGTATAACAGCAAACTTATCAGTATGGCAGAGCAACGAGTCCTGCACACATGCATGTTTGGGTTAGTGCTTCACCCTCACAATGTGGCTGTATGTTTAGAGTAAAAGCAAGACCAGTAAGTGATGGTTTGCTTCCACTTCCAGTCAGATTGATGCAGACATGCTGGATGAATGAAATGCAACAGTATGAAGTGCAATGAGGAGATGAAACAGATGAAATAAAGATAATCAGGGGAAACATGCTCTTTGACAGGCACATTACATCCTTCAGTAAGGAAGGGAAACGCCCTAAAGCAGCTCAAATAAATGTCATGAAGTGACACAAAGCTCAGCCTCAGGACAGATCATCAGAGAAGGAAACCCCAGGCTACATGTCACAAACACGTTAACGTGCTGATTAGAAATCTGGTCCTGGTTAGTGGGGAGGCGGATCAGCAGGACGGTTTAAAAAAACAAATGGGGAAACCAAAAAAAATAAATAAAAAAGAGGTGAATGCGTATCTTTGTCCGTTTCTTTGTACCCTTCCCTGTCGATTCACAATAATAAGTTATATTTGGAGATGCGGTCATGTCAGACCCGGGCGATTTTTAACTGGGGCAAGGGCAGGGCCGCTTCAGGTTTGATTCAATTTGACAGCTGTGCACATGCTGGAAAGACTCACATTAAGTCTGCATGTTGGGAGGTGAGCAGCTGGATCTCAGGCTACCTGAGGATTGCTGAGGTGGAGGCTCGACTAAAACCTTTAGAGAAAAATCAAAAACCGCACAGGACAGGGGCCTCTGCTGTCCAAGTAGAACAAGTCACCATTCAAACTAATGGTAATAATCTCTTTCTACAGATTTCAGCATTTAGAAATATGTCTTCTATTTTATTTTTTTTGTATACTTCTGACAGCCTCTCTTGTCAATAGAGTATTTTTCTTTCACTTAGAGAGGGGGGCTTCTGATCAATCTAAGCTGTTTTTCTTTGGGGTCCTCCTTTCATCCCTGCAGAGAAATTACTTTCATGACGGCTGAATTATTTCCACTGTATTTTTCTTCAAACCATCCTCATTTGCCACGTGTTCCCTAAAGCTTGGATGAAACAGACCCACAGTATTGTAGATCTGCTGTGATACTGTGGGCAGAAGGCTGTTTGCTTCATATTCATCCTTTTATTTTCATAGCACACCTGCCTGCCTGGAGTGTTTGCTGTTCATAGGATTATTCTTACTCTCTTCTCAGCATCACATCAAGTAAAAGACCAGCAGGATTTCTCCAATTCTGCATGTTTATGTTTGTCATGGTGGGACTTGCCCTCCAAATTATTTACTAACACAAAGGTGGGCGGGCTGCTCAATGACACAGTGGGTAGCACTGCTACCTTTCAGCAAGAAGGTTCTGGGTTTGATTCCTGGCCTGGGGTCTTTCTGCATGGAGTTTGCATGTTCTCCCTGAGCATGTGTGGGTTCTCTCCGGGTACTCCAGCTTCCTCCCACAGTCCAAAAACATGATTGTTAAAGGGGATCACCGTTTTTTTTACATTGGCCCCATTGATTTTACATTATTACATCATGTTCTACTCACCCATAATAGTTTTGTGTCATTTGGAGCTGTTCTGAAGATATTCAGTTTTGTAATCCAAGTGTTATCTTTTAAAACAAAGCGGAGTGTGTATGATGTCATCCGCGCGCGCCGGCTACCGTTCATTCTTCCTGTCCGCTGAACTGCTGCTAGTTTTCCTCACATGCCTGGAAGATGTCTAGTGCTACTATCACAGATGATCTCGCTCTCGAAAATGGAATTGAACGATTCAGATTAGCTAGCCGAATGAATACAAGGGGTAGAGCGTAGCCGCCTGTGGCCCGGGCTGCCTGTCACAACTCCAGTCCGGCACACGGATGACGCAATACACACTCCGCTTTGTTAAAAAAAAAATAGAAATATAAAAAATATAACGGCAGATGTCTGGTGGACAGTGATTCGTCAATATATTATGAATGCTGGCGTACCATAAATGATACATTATGAACAGTTTAGTTTGCATTCAACTCGTTGCCCATAGGAAGACGTTACTTGGATTACAAAACCGAATATCTTCAGAACGGCTCCAAATGACACAAAACTAATATGGGTGAGTAGAACATGATGTAATAACGTAAAATCAAGGGGCCAATGTAAAAAAACGGTGTTCCCCTTTAAGTTAATTGGCTTATCTAACTTCTCCTTAGGTGTGAGTGTGTGCTGAATGATTGTTTGTCTCTGTGTTGCCCTACGATGGACTGGATGGATGGATGAAGGTGGGATATGAGGGTCTGATGGTGCATTTTTTTTTCTTCCAATATATATTATTTTTGGGGCTTTTACGGCACTAATGGCTCATTTTTTGAACAGTAGGCTGACAGGAAAGGGGGTATGAGAGAGGGGGAGAGACATGCGACAAAGGACCACAGGTCGGATTCGAATTTGAGTCGGCCACATCGAGTACTAAGGCCTCCGTACATGGGTTACGCGACCGAAGCACGCCCTGGATGGTGCTTTTTGCTGCAGGGATTTTTTTCTTTACTTTGAGAAGCTAAGATTTAAAGGATTTTTAATATGAAATTTTTCAGATGTTTGAACTATGATGTTAGTTTATGCAAATTTAATCCAGAAGCTACATTTCTGTTTTGTGTCTTTTTCGAAATTCCACTTGTTCAAATTGAGTTTAAATTGCATTTTTGTATTTTGCTGTACAGTTCACATTCTCTTCTCATCAGGGCGTGGGCTCTCCTCTGGAGCCAAGATGCATTGCTGTTGTTCTGCATGGAAGTTAGCATCGATATTTACCTTTGGTCTTTGCGCGTGTCAAAAGTGTGCGTTTGTTTTGAGCTTAAGGTGAAAAGAATTATGGTCAAAATTCTACAACCACAGAAAGAATATGATGAAAATAGTAAAAAAAAAAAAAGCTAGAAACTTCTAAAAATACAGAACAGCTCTGAAACATTGGAGGGAGTTGAACAAACAACAAACCATATTGGACTAAACCCTCCATACAAACAGATCATCAAGCTATAATTCAGGATTAAAAAAAAAAAAGTCTTATTTTTTCTTTGCAGCCTTTTTCTTTTTTGTGTTTTGGAGTTTGCATCACATGTTTTTGCAACATGTTTCATTGTTTACTGTGCATCTGTATTTATTGGCCACTGAAGAGAATGTGATCAGTTCCACAGAATTAGAGAACAAAAATGCAATGTAAAACTCCATATCAAAACGAGATATTTGAAGAAAATGTAAAGGGAAAAAAACGGCAAAATTAAAAACATTTTAATAAAAGAACTGGAATAAATAAAATCTGAATAAACAGCAAAATACCAAAAAGTTTTTCCAAGTTTCTCTATTAGATTGCATTTGTTTTTTTGTTTTGTTTTTTCAAATCTCCATTTACAAAATATGTTCTTTGCTTGCAACAATAATGGAACAAAGTACATTCCATACACAACTGTGGAGATGAGCTTTTGTCTTATTTTGTTGCTGAAATCTGAAGAACGAGAACCTGTCTGTTACCTCACTTCAATTCTGCAGTATCTGTTACACGCAGACCGACAGGAACTACAACAAACCCTGACAGAACGGGACGAAGCCAGAGTGCTTCACAGACAGAAAGACAGAGACAAGATCACAACAGCAGGCCAGAAGAAGCTGAGTGCATCAAACTGACAGAAGCCTGAAGGTGTTTGGCAGGTGGAAGCAGGGAACCAGCAGTGACTGAAAGGAAGCAGAGGAAGGAGGAGGAATAGAGGGGATTCTACCTTATAGGCGATTCGGGGAGGACATTTCTTTCCCAGACCTAGTGGAGGAGACATGTCGCGAAGCATCTCGTACATGTCACGGTAACTTATGCGGCCGCTTCCGAGAGGGAAGAAGAGGAAGTGAGGGTCAAGATTTCCAAGGAGAGGATGAGAGGGGATTGGTTGAGGAGGTAGCAAAGAAAAATGTAAAAAAAAAAGAAGAAGATAACAGAAATGGGGAGAAGAAGGAAAACAGAAATCTTTGTTAATAAGATTTCCAGGTTTTTTTTTCTTCTGGAATGCCATTGCTGTTGAATTTATTCACTCAAGAATGGATCCCAGGGTGGAAAAGGAGAAGAGATTCCCATAATAAAGATGTGATGGAAGGAACCTGGTGGAAGAAACATGTTGGGTAATAGGAGAACTCCACTGAAAACCCATATTCTGAGTCAGGCTTCCTGCCTGAATGTTTGAACTGTGACTCTGAAAAAGCAGGTGAAACTAAAACCCACTTCTATATCAGTGTATAAAAGTAAACACTTCAAACTTTTCAACATTGCATATTCTGTCACAAATTAACCTGGAAATGTTAAAAGGGTGGAAGATGGTGCATGATCTAAAAAGTGTGCATTTGATTTCAGTCCAATTAACATACTAGCATAATCCGCACATAAAATCAACTGTCCTTACACCATTATTAAAGTCCAGTTCTGTGTAATTCAAATACTGAAGAAAAGAGAAAGTTCTGTGAAGGCCTTGGTGGTTTGTCAGATAGAGAGGTGATCAGGTAGAAAACCTCAGAGAGGTTCAAAGCAGGGTTAGGCTGTTAAACATCGTCGCAACAAAGCTTTGAAAGTCTCATTCAACTCTGTTCTCCTGAATGAGGAAACCGCTAGCCTCGTAAGACAATCCTGATCTCGCGAGCTTTCAAGGTTTCACTCGCTAATAAGTCTAGAGACTCTCCGTTAAAGAAAATTTGGAGCCGTTCACCAAACGAACGTCCAATCAGCTTTGGCTTTGAGGCGGGTTGAGGTGTGACGCAACGAGAAGCGCGACAGTTCAGTCTAAAGAACATGGCGGCTTCAGCCGATGAAACTAGCGTTAGCGTGGCTATCGAGCAAGTTTTATCGGAATTACAGAGTATTTCTTCACTGAAAGAAGAGCAAAACACTGCTCTGGAGGCTTTTCTCAGAGGAAAAGATGTTTTTGCTCTTCTCCCGACTGGTTTCGGCAAGAGTGGCTTGTGGTTGTGTTTTCGTCGTCGCTCTGTTAGTACGTCATATGCTTCGTTGATCTGATTGGTTTATTTGGCCCGTCTATCACCAACATAGGCCAATCAGCTAACCAGTATTTTTGCCCCTTTCCAAAATTACTTCAACGGAAGGTTTCCAGATGGATATGCGGAGCAAATCCATCTGGCGGAGTCAGGTTAGGAAACCGCAGGGACCAAATGCAGACATATTAAAACTTGGATGCCTTCTTTAACTGATTGCAAAGGAGAGAACAGATGAGTGAATCAGAGAAGAGCCCAAAGCGGCATGATAACTATCAGTTGCTCCCTGTTTAAAAGTAGCAAGGAAACAACCAGTGTTGAAAGAAAGTCATAAGAAGTCCTGTTTGCAGCTTCCATAAAGCATGGAGGGGAAAAAAGTTTAAAATTAATTTACCACTTTGGCCTATAAGTAGAAAACTACCACTGCACATCACTCACCCATCTCCCCTACATAGTGATGCATGGTGGTGGCAGGATCATGTGGTGGGAATGCTCCTCTGCAGTAGGGGAGGAACACTCAAACAAAATACTGATCAATCCTTAAGGTTAACCTTTAGAAGGCTGCAGACAGTTTGAGCTGTTTATAGAGCTGAACAGTGGCGGCAACAATGGTGTCAGTCAATTAATTCATGTGTTGGAACGGTCTAGTCAAAGTCCAGACTTGAAATCAATTATAAGGTGTCTGAGATTTGACTTGCCTTAAAATCTCTCGATCCAACCTAACTGAGCCGGAGCTACTTTGCGAAGAACCAGCAAAAATCTAAACTTGGGATCCAATTATAAATGCACACCACAATTTTTAGAGCTTTGTAGAAAAAAAAAAAGATTTATGCACCATTCTAGAACTTTTTTGTTCTTGTTTTAGACAAAAACTATTTAATGATCTTTTGTTTACATGGAGATCTGTGAAAAGTGAAGCGATGTGAATATTTCTGTAATGTGCTGCTAATGCTGGGTAGTTTTCGTGGAACAGGAGAAGAAAAACATGAATTACACAACGAGAAGATTTTGGTCATTGCCAATAATGAAGCTTGTTGTTTTATTTGAGGGGTCAATAATTATTCTGCTTCATATTTTTTCAAGTCTACCCTTTAATTAATTCAAAAGATGGATTTCCAGCGGAGCGTTCCTTTAAGATTCCCTCGTTATTCTGCATGCTTACAGGTTCTCAGCAGTAACCACAGTGAAAACAAGGCATTCAATGCTCTTCCTTTATTTCCTACTCCTCTCACTCCTGTTTCTGTAAGAAGGTAAACATCTCAGACATCCCATCTGATGCCTTCTGCTTGAGCCTGACTTGCTGCTTTGTTTCCCCGCCACTCGACATGGTTACGTGCCAGCTGGGTTAGTAGAGGATCAATGAGCGTTTGTATGCATGTGTGCTCTGGTGTTTCTCTGCCAAACGCAGAGAAGGAGGACAGACAGACACAGTCCAAAACCAGCACGGTCTCCTTCTTTAAAGCAAGGGGACCGTGTGGGAGTGCAAACCTTATAAGCCACCCTGTTGGGGCACTTCTTCCCCAGGCCCAGGGGAGGCGAGATTAAACGCAATAATTTGTACATGTCCCGATAGCATATCCTCCCACTGAAAAAGATGACACATGTTGAAGAGGTTAGATCACAGGCAAACTATAAACATCTGTTCAATATTTTACCTCATGACTTCTAAAGGATAGTTTTGTTTTTGTTTTTTGCGTAAATGGGGTTGTGGGTAGAAATGATGAGTAGTCAGTATCTTTAGTGAGGAGCAATCAGATGGATCTTGGTTTGGAGAATTATTAAATTGCAATCTTCCAAGGTTTGCTTAAAGCAATAACTTTTAACTGATAGTCTGAATTATTCAATTAAATTATCAGTGAAGCACCTTAAGATGAAATGTGTTGTAACTTGGTCCTGTAAGAATAAAACTTCCTACAAAAGGGGTGTCATTTTCTAAAAGGAAGCAAAAATTAGGAGCAATATTTATGGTTAGTTAGCATGTTTTCAGAGAAAATTAAGAGTAATTTTTTCACTGTGTCATTTATTCATTTATAAAAATCTTACTTTGTTAAATAAATATTTAGATTGGAGCTAAATATTTAGTTTACAAATTAAATAAATAGTGTGTTAAATAAATAATTTGCAATTTAAATATTTAGTATTTTTAAATAAATATTCATCTCCAAACTAAATATTTTGTTTGTTAAATAGATATTTAGCTCCAAATACAATATTTATTCAACAAACTAAGTAATTAGCTAGCACCAAGCTAGCTAAATATTTAGCGAATATGCAAATTTGCTTCACGAAAAGTTTAAGTAAACTACCAACGTAAAAGCTTAGGAATCTCTATATAGCCCCTACTGCTCAAGAGGAGATACTGATTTCTGTTTGGTCACTTTGTCTTTGGCTAAATCCCAAACCACCTCCTATTCTCGTTTACACCTCATTTACTTTGGTAGCGCACTTCCTCTTTTAGGCCAGTGGATTTTCACATTCGCTAAATATCTAGCTAGCCCCAAGCTAGCTAGATATTTAGTATATTAAATAGATATTTTATTTGGACCTAAACATTTATTGAAAAAAGTAAACATTTTACTTGAAAGCTAAATATTTAGTTTGGAGCCAAATATTAATTCAACAAATTAAATATTTCATTTGCAAACTAAATAGTTAGTTTGGAGCTAAATATTTAGTTTACAAATTAAATAATTTGTGTGTTAAATAAATAATTTTCAATTTAAATATTTAGTATTTTTAAATAAATATTAATCTCCAAACTAAATATTTTGTTTGTTAAATAGATATTTAGCTCCAAATACAATATTTATTCAACAAACTAAGTATTTAGCTAGCACCTAGCTAGCTAAATACTTAGCTAATATTCAAATTTGCTACTTGAAAAGTTTAAGCTAAACATTTATTGAAAAAAAAACATTTTATTTGAAAGCTAAATATTTAGTTTGCAGCTAAATATTTATTTAACAAATTAAATATTTTATTTGCAAACTAAATATTTAGTTTGGAGCTCAATATTTACTTTTCAAATTAAATATTTAATTTGAAAACTAAATATTCAGCACCAAACTAAATATTTATTCAACAAATTAAGATTTTTAGTAATGAATGAATGAATGAATGACATAGTGAAAAAATGAGGGGGGTCACATGGGAATACATGGGAATAAGTCCTGCTTCTTGCTTCATCTGGAACTGACAGACAAAAAAGTTCCTAGAAGGGAGATAGTAATTTAAATACTATCCTGAATGTTATTCTCATAATTATTACCCATGCTGGGTAGGTTACTTTAAAAAGTAACAACTTACAGGTACTACTCTGAAAAAGTAACTGAGTTACTAACTCAGTGAAAGTAACCATGCAGTTACTTTTTCTGATCTAAGTTGTCGAAGAATTTGGAAAACTTTCCTGTTAATGGAATTTTAGATACAACTGGAGGTTTTAATTATAGAATATAAGGTCTTATTAATTAGTAATCTGAAAACTAATTCTATTTTGATGTGTGGTTTTACAAGTGGATTGCAGTTAGATTATCTAGATGTAATCATGTTTCTTGTTTATATTAAAAGATGTAAAAATAAGATTTATCCAGCCTTCAATTGGCTACTAAATAGCTAGGAAGCTGAAACATAATGCTTTTCAAGCAGTTTAACAGAAATAATATATATAATTTGTAATAGAACTAAATAGGGGTTAAACTAATCCAGAAGGAAAAAAAAGTCCTAGCAGGTCTTTATCTGTATGATCCCAGGATTTTTGAGTGAAAAAACGTAAACCATGGCAGTAAAGACGTTATAGCCCTGAAAAAGTAGCAAACATGCGTTGATTAAAGCAGCAGCTGTCATTCAATGTTAAGATGATGTGGGGAGCTTCTTGAAATCAGCTTCTAACTGATGTCTATAAAGTATTTTCCTGAACATAATAAGCAATATTAAGACTTTAGTAGTGCTTTACTGTAGGAACGCTAAGTGGCTCTGTGCCATCGCTTCTCCTCTGTGGTCATGCCGAAGTTAAACTTAGAAAAAATATTTTGGTTCTGTTTTCTGTATCAGCCAACGACTTACTACCATTTTTTTTTCATTAAAATATTGTTAATTTCCTAAAAACGTATTAAAAGTAATCATTACAGGTAGGGGATTTCCCTTGTACCATTAAAAGGCCTGCAGTAGTAGCCATTCACTTTCCTCAATCAGTCCTTGGGTGGTCTCCTACAACTCCTTTTTAAACATCAATCTTTTTACTAAAATATTCTTTCTGTCATGATTTGTGGAAATTAAGATCTAAAGAGAAGCGCCATCTCCGGGTCAGACCCTGTAATTCAGTGAAAGGGTGGAATCAGGGAAAAAA